GTGGGCACAGCCTCCCACAACATCTGGATGGTGAGTGTGGGCACAGCTTCCCAGTGCTGCTGCTGCTGTAGTGGGACACACAGCATGACAGAGGTGAAGGGGGTGAAGAGGAGCGAGTAAGGAGAGCAGTTGTAGTGCAGGCCCGGAGCCTGGTCAGGCGCTGCAGCCACCTCGTTGCCGTGGTAACCACGGCAAGTTTGGAATATTTATGCTGTGTAAGAGGAGTTGGGGTAACCTAAAGATAGCCTGGATCACTTGCTTGCATAAGAGTTCCTTGGTGGGCGTTGATACTTTGATTCCTCTGGAAAACGTACCTCATGCTGCATTATTTTTCCAAAGTTTGGGGGAAAATGCTGAGAAACTGGGATTTGTGTAGTCCAGGGAGTGGGATGAGGTAGTGGTGGTGTTTGGGGTTTGTCAGAAGAACTCAGTTCCTTTTTCCATTTGTTCTCTTCCCGATGTTTTTTGTTCGGGCACTGGTGGAAGCTTTCCCTGTCGCGGTGCTCACGGGGTGGTTCTCTCCAAGGCAGGGGATGCTGCCTGCTTTTATGACATCAAACTGGGCCGCAGGCGTGTGGAGCACCATGATCATGCTGTGGTGAGCGGGAGACTGGCTGGAGAAAACATGACAGGAGCTGCAAAGCCCTACTGGCACCAGTCCATGTTCTGGTAACAGTCCTTTCCTATTTGGGGGTTCCTGGGGTGGCCACGTTGCAGGAGCTTGGACAAGATACACCTTGAGAAGTGTCTGTTTCCCAAGGGGAGTGAAACCACCTCAGCAAACACCTTGTACAGCTTCATGTTCCTAAAGCTCAGGGCTGGGGAGGCGTTTGAGCATTTGCTGCTCTGCTCTCACCTCCCTCAAGTGCTTTCCCTTCCTGCAGATCCCAGTTTCTCCCTGAACCAGTCCCATTTCGCAGAGCAAGGAGCAATACAGAACAGCCCTCTCCTCAGAGCAGACTGATTTACTGGTTGAATTTAGCAGCAGCTTTTCTGTTACAATTATCTGAAGTTCCCCAACTCAATCTGTGGGTCTGAGTGTTGCACTTTGCTGAACAGATGTTTTAGTGGCAAAGCATTGCTGCATCCAGGTGTACCTGAAAAGTTGTTTTCCAGAGAGAGGTATCAGGAAAGTGGGCAATTTGGCTATATTTTCCTGAAGTTCTTTTTAAAACAAAATGAATGAGAACAGAAAAATGAAACAAAAAAAAGCCCCACAAAAAATTAAAATCCAAAAGGCTGTTAGTTCAGACCAATTAAAAATCCCAAATCCTGTTTATTGACAGGATTTCAAATATGGGTAAAAGAGTTCTAGTTTTTTCAAGGAAATCCCTACAGAAATAGTTATTTATCATTTGCTGTCACTTACCTGAACTCTTGGTCTGTCCTGCCTGGATTCAGGGCCCAGAGCATTTCTCACTTCGCTTTTAAACAAGAAACAGAGCCACAGAATCCTTGAGGTTGGGAAAAACTTCAGAGGTCATCAAGTGCAGCGAAAGACAGAGACAGGCATTTCCCAGGGGTGCTTTCCCCTGGGATGCTCTCAGCCATGACCAGATGCAGGTGAAGGAGGGCTGTCAGTTGCAGCCCCGTGGTTGTTGGCAGGTGTCACACTATGACAGCCCTCAAAGAGTGACACTTCCTTCCCCCATGCTGAAAACCTGGGAAATGACAGGAATTCCTCATGCATTTTGTCAGTGTGCTCAGGATCCTGATCCTCTTGGAGGGAAGGTTGTGTGGAGACCTCACAGAATCTTCCAGTGTTTGAAGGGGCTACAAGGAAGCTGGAGAAGGACTGGAGTCCCTCTCCAGTCCCTCCCCCAGGACAAGGGGGGAGAGGCTCTGAATTGACAGAGGGGAAATTTAGGTTCAATATATGGAAGAAACCCTTCCCTCTGAGCATAATGAGACCCTGGCACAGAGAGGTGCCCAGAGAAGCTGTGGCTGCCCCTGCATCCCTGGAAGTGTCCAAGGCCAGGCTGCACAGGACTTGGAGCAATCTGGGATAGCGGAAGGTGTCCCTGCCCATGGCAGAAAAGTGGAATGACATGGGTTTTAAGGTCCCTTCCAACCCAAATCATTCCATGATCCCTCCTGAGCTCCAGCTGATCACAGCTGCCATGTTACTGGTGCTCCTTGCAGTCACCCCAGTCTGTGCTGGAGGATTCTGGTTGGGGAGGTCGTGTTGCACATAGATTCATGGTTTGTGATGCACCTGTTTCCTCAGCATCCTGGGAAACACTTCAGACGCCAGCTACTTACTGGTCCCAAACCACAGTTGCTTTATCTACTATCACCACCCCAGTTCAGACCCAGGTGCCCAGTTCAAGAAGGTGTTAGGGCAAGGTTTCTTCTCTTCAGTCTTTTCTAAATGTTCTCAAAAATATTCACTGAATGATTGTCCATGCTGCCAAGCCTGGTGTGGATAATAGCACTGCCAGAAGCTGGGAAGCCTCCAGCTGCCTGCCAGGGAGCAGGCCTGAAGGATTTCAAAGTTTTGGCCACTGAACTCGTTTTTCTGAAGCTCATGGCCTTGGGCTTATCATGTCTTGACTCCTTGTTCCACCTGTGTGTGCAGAGGAGACTCCGTGTCTCAGTCAGTGTGTCAGTGTCCAGCACTGCCCATGCCATGCTGGAGTAAGGAGTGGAGCACGGATGGATGGATGGAACTGCCTTGGATTTGTCTCTGCTACTGCTACAAATTACTTCATTCCCACTTCATTCCTAGGAGTGATCTGGGCCCCAACGTGGGGTATGAAGCCATTGGCCTTGTGGACAGCAGTTTGCCCACAGTGGGAGTGTTTGCCAAGGCGACAGCGAAGGACACGCCAAAAAGTGCAACAGAACAGTCAGGTAGGGACTGGGGAGCTCCTGCACATGCTGGTGTGGGGACCACAGAGTCACCCTGACCTCTGAGAGCGTGAGGAAACAGCGATCTGCTGTCTCGTTTGTCCACCAAGCTTTAAAGGGTAGCTTTTATATTAAAATGTGATTAAAACATTCTTCCAAGAAGGGATCACGGAACACATCTACTGCCATGCAGACTTTCTTAGGGAAGTTTGATCTCCTCCTTGGCAATAAAGTGATCCGTTTGGGACCACAGAGACTCTGGATCCAAGCATGTTTATCTTGTATCCGCTGCCTGGAGGAAGCAGACTGTGCTCTCCTTTGCATTGGGGATTATTGATGTTATGCTCCATGCTGGGATTGTTTCATCCTTGTGTTAATGAAACGTAACTTTTGGGGAACACAACTCAAAGGGAAACACCTCACGCTCCTGCAGAACATGCTGCTGAGTCTGCTCCCATCATCACATGTCCTGCACCGGGTGTGTGACTCCTCCTATTTCTACCTTAGGGACTGGAATTCGATCTGAGAGCGAAACAGAAGCAGAAGCCTCAGAAGTTCAGATCTCTCAAAGCTCTTCACCGATGCCTCAAGTCCCAAAGCAAGGAGAAGATTACGGCAAAGGTGTCATTTTCTACCTCAGGGATAAAGTCGTGGTGGGAATTGTGTTGTGGAACATCTTCAACAGGATGCCCATTGCTCGGAAGGTCAGTGCAGCGCGAGGATGACGGACAGGGGGGTTTGTTAGAGCAGGGCTTTTCTTGTGGAAAAATCAATCTGTCAATTCAAAGTGAGGATAAATAAAGGCAGATGCTCTGTCTGGTGCAGAGCTGGGCAACATCCAATGGGAACACTGTTCTGGGTGAATTAGGGGAACTGTCCCTGTGCTTTTTTGTATGTTTGCAAATTTTTTACACAAATAACTCGAATCAGGTGTGTGCTCCAAGCCTTGCCTTGGCATGGCTGATTCCAGGTCTGTAGTACAGGCTGGAGTCACAATGATGGCACAGGAGTGAAGAGTCCCATTTTTGTGCTGCTTTGTCCCATGTCCAAGCATCTGAAAAAGTCTCAAATGTCACCATCCCAGAAACAGCCACCATGGCCGGGCTGGAGCAGCCCTAAACAGGGGCTCAGTGTGTCCCCACCCTCATGGCCCAGACCTCTCAGCTCACCTAAGCCAGACCCAGGTCAGATTTTAACACCTTTGAAGAATTTTGGTTGTTTGAATTGTGGTAGTGATCCCACACTACCCTCGGGTGATCTGTCCCAAGACAAACTATTCATGGTGGAAGTCTTTGTTCATATCTAATCTGAAGATTAATTGAAACATGTAGCTTCTGCCATCCCCATGGGAGATCCTGCCTGCCTGCCTTCCTTCCTTCCTCCTTTCCTCCCTCCCTCCCTTAGCAATCCTTACCCTAAATCTGTGGTGTCTTCTCTTGTCTAAAAGTTAAGAGGTTCAAGTCAGGTATCCTGGCTCCAAGTCAGGGCCAGGCTCACCTTTGCAGAGCTGAATCACTTTTTAAAACACTTGTTCTCCCTGGCTGTAAAAGGAAACCCAGAAACAAATCCCACAGGGACAGGAGGCTGGTTTTCCTGCTGTTCCTGTAGGCAGGTGATGGTACATTTAGGACTCCCATGTGAATTAGAGTGTAGAAAGTGCTGTTGTGTTGTGGCTGTCTCAGTCTGGTGCTTCAGAGAGGATCCAAGGAGTTCCTGGCATTGGCTGTGACAGTCCTGCAGCACTGGCTCTCTACAGGATGTGCAGGATTTAATGTGTTCTCCATCTTCCAGATCATCAAAGATGGGGAGGAGCATGAGGACCTCAATGAAGTAGCAAAGCTCTTCAACATCCACGAAGACTGAACTCCACAGCAGGAGCACCTGGAGGAAGTGGGCTGCTGGCTGTGTGCACCCCTGCACCTTGGGCAGCTTCCTGGGAGCACCTGGGAATATTCCACTCACCCAAGCCCAGTGTTTGCACCAATAAAGTCAGATTGTTCTAGTCACCTGCTCCTTCCTGCACCACTGCCTGGCTGGTGAGGAAAGGGGAGCATGCTGCCCCACTGGGGTCAGTTTTCCCTTGTGTAAGCCTTGGAGAAACCTGCAGATCTCCCTCTTCCCTTGCAGGAATTCCCACTGGGGAGTAAGCAGGCCTGCAGGCTCTCTGCCTGTTCTCCAGACTGTAGAAATAGACTCAACTTGGGAAAATCAATTACCAATCAAAATCAGAGCAGGATGATGAGAAGTAAAACAAATTTTAAAAACACTTCCCCTCCCTCCCTTTCCTTTCTGGGCTCTCCATCCTCCCAAGGAGATAGGGAATGAGGGCCATGGTCCGTTCATCACACGCTGTTTCTGTCCCTGCTCAGGGAGAGGGGTTGTAGTCCTTCCCCTGCTCCAGTGTGGGGTCCCCTCCCACAGGAGCCAGTGCTCCATGAAATTCTCCAGCAGAGTCCTTCCCATGGGCTGCAGTTAAATCTTTTATCCCCGAGGTGTCACCACCATCTTTGCTGGGCTCAGCCTTGGCCAGCAGTGGTTGCATCTTGAGCCGGTGGCATTGGCTCTGTTGGACGTGGGGAAAGTTTTGGCAATTTCTCACAGAAGCCACCCCTGTAGCCCCCTTGCTGTCAAAACCTGGCCAAGCAAGCCCAACACACCTGACAACTGCATTGGGTGATGCAGGGCCTCATGGTGCCCTTGGGCCATTGTGACATGCAGGGCCTCATGACACCAGGGGCCATTGTGACACAGCAGGGCCACATCCTCCCCATGGGGTGTTTAAGGAGCCTCTCTGGGGTACCAACTCAAGCAGAACACCTTGCTGATGAAGTAGCAGCTTCCAGGACACCTGTGGAAAAGTAGCCATGGAGGAGCAGAACCCCAGTCCCCAGAGCCCCAAGGAGAGGCACCAGCTGAGAGATGGAGGGAGAGGCCAACAGGAGGATGGCACCAGGCATACCAGGACCCTGCCCAGGCAGCTGCCTCCATCCCACAGCTCCTCCTCCTGCCCACATCTGCGGCAGCCTCGGGGCAGCCAGGGCCGGTCCCTGCACCGGCTGACATCGCCCCGCAGCTCCCAGGGCCGGTCCCTAACCCGGCTGACATCGCCCCGCAGCTCCCAGGGCAGCCAGACCTGGTCCGTGCCCCGGCTGACATCCCGCAGCTCCCTGAGCTCGGGGGGCACCGGGAGCCGTCTCAGCCCGGACGAGGCGGGCCGGGAACAAGGCCCGCAGGGGCGCGAGTCCCGCCCTGGTGGCTCCTCGCAACCGGCCGCCCTGGGCAGCAGAGCCGCAGCCCGCGGCCAGCACCGCCCCGTGAGGAGCCGCCGGGCCTGCAGCGGCCCGGGGGGGCCACAACTGGTGAGGGCCGAGCACAGAGGGCCGGACGAGGGGCGCTTTCCCTGCCCACAGCGCTGCACGCCCAGCAGCTCCTTCACTCCTATCCCAGCAGCTGCTGCTGGGGGCAGCCCAGCAAATCCTCTACAAATCCCCAACTCTCCTTCCAGGTCTCCATAAGGAAACCAGTTCCTGACCCACAGAGAAAGGCCTCTCACCATATGGATCAGGAAACCCAGACTGAGACCTGGGCACAAGAGGCAGGTTCAGCTGTTCAATATGCCGAGCAGGAGACACAGACAGATACTGTGGCAGAAAAAGAGAAAAATTCAGCTGCTCCCCTCATGGCTGACCAGGAGACAGAAACTGAGACTCCAATACAAGAGAAGAGTTCTGCTTCTCCTCAAATCACTGATGAGTGGACACAGACCAAGAGCCACAGCTCTGCCCCCTGCACAGGCACTGAGGCCCTGGCTCACCAGCAGCCACCCTCCCTGCTCTGCAGGGCATTCTGCCACTCCTGCACGGCTGGACAGCCTCATGCTGCCAGCACCCTCTGGGATCTCAGGGACAGCCGCTGCTCCAGGCAGCCACTATGGCCTGAGCACAGCACACCAGAGAGATGGGGATGGACAGCACTGCCACCCTACTCTTGGCCATGGCTCATTGAGATGAACCAGTTTTGATAAAACATTTAATTTCTCTAATCGTGCCCACCTGTGCCTGGTCTGTCAGGAGAAAGTTGGCTGCAGGTGAGGCCTCTGCAGAGCAGGAGAGCCCCTGAGCTCCTCCAGCCAAGCAGAGCCCATGCCCTTGGCCTCTGCCAGGCTTCAGGTGTTCCAGCTCCTCTGGTTGAGATCCCTGGGCTGGTGCTGATGGCCAGCCCCCAGCAGAACCCTGTCAGCTCCCTCCCACCTACCTGCTTCTAAGTGAACATTTCAGATCACTCATTTGGTAAGTTTTCCCTATGGCTGCACCTCCTTAGGTTCACAAGGAACCTCCCCAGTATGGGAGCACTTCTCCCCTCTCTTTTTAAGGCCTGCTTTGACTGCTCCTGTATCACTTTGGGGAGTTCCTCTTGGTGGTGTGTGGACAAAGCTTTCCTCCTAGTCTTGTCATCATGGCATTCCTGCTGTCCTTCCTAAAGAAACAAAAATACAGCACTGCCCTGAGTGCCCTCTGCTCCCACAGAGGTGAGTAAAGCCAGCCAGGGACCAACTGCCCCATGGATGGGCTGGGGGTACTGGGACCAGACAGGGCTACCCTGACATCTGTGTTTGGGTATCGCTGGGCTTGGCTGCAGAGTTCCCAGCACCAGGGCCAGGCAGGAAGCTGGGAGGAGCAGTGGAGTCTCCCTGTTTTTCCAGCTGTGCAGACACATGGGCCCTGCAGGTCCCACAGGCCACTTCCCCCCTCCCTTCCCCGAGCCACAGACTCAGGCTGACATGCACAGAAATCTGCCTGGACACGAAAAAAAAAAGGCAGGAGCCAGGGAGCCTGATGCAGGTTTTTTCTGTACATCAGTGTTTTTGACACCACAGCCTGTTGCTGCATATAATAAAACAGAAATCAGAAAGAGCAACCAGAATACACACCCAAAGGCAAAAAAACCCTTGGCTTAAAGAAGGTGCTGCCAGGCCCTCGGGGGAAGGCTGGCAGCGGGGCTCCAAGGGGGAAAACGCCTGCCCTGGCTGGGGAGAAACACAACACAAAGAAAAAACGAACCAACAAAAAAACTCACCCAAGGCTCCCGCTGCGGAGCGGGGAGAGCCAGAAATCCCCCGATTGTCCCGACCTCAGTCCTGTTAGCACCTGTACAATAAAACTGTACCGGCCCCGAGGCAGAGCAGCCCGCCCGCACCCGCTGCTGCACAGAAAGCTGCTCCCGGGACACCGGCGGGGAGCGGGCCAAGGGGGCGGCTCCTGCCCAGGGGACAGAGCCTGGGGCGGGGCACAAGCTGCCGAAGCGGGGGACGCGCTGGGGGCCGCGGGCTGCGCCTGCCCGGGCGGCACCGCCGGGGACACGGAGCAGCAGCACGAATGAGATGGAGGAGGAGCACGGGAGAGGATGGAGCAGTGGGGCTGGCTCCCGGCTGCGGCTGAGCGCTGGCAGCAGGAGCCAGCTCCAAAGCCAAGGGAAGGGGCTGTCCCCTGGCTTGTTGCCAGGGAGGGACGGGAACCCCTGGGCCTTGCTGGCCTCGGGGTACGCTGGAGAGGGGCGGGGGACGGCCTCATCCACAGCCCGGAGCTCACCATCACAGTGATACAGACTCAGCAAAAACAAAGAAAACATTACAAATTAAATACTAATTAAATAAATACTATGGAAGACATTGGGCGGGGGGGAGGGCAAACGGAGAGGCGCAGTTCCGTAGGGTCCGGTGGGGAGGGGCGGCGGTTCCCACCCCTCGCTGAGCCCCGTGCAGGGGTCTCCAGCACCCACCGGAGCTGGATGAGGCGGCGGCGGCAGCGACCGCCACTGCTTGTGGGCGGGGGACCTTGGGAATGCCTTGGAGGCGAGGGTCCTCCCTCCCCAGCTGGAGGAGACCCTGAGGAGAGGAGGAGCGGCTGCTCAAAGACTCGGGTCCCTGCTGCTGGCGCTGAGAGAGCTGCTTCCCCTTGGTCCTTATTATTGCCTCGTGATGCCGGGAGTGGCCTGTCCCCGTCAGCTGCTCCAGGCCTGGTACTCCACCACCGAGCCCAAGAGCTGCAGCAGCTCGGGCTCGTAGTGCACCAGCTCCACAGTCTCTGCCGTGCCCGGCGCCAGCTCGGGGCTTGCTGGCACCTCCTCCTGCGCCAGCACCTGGCTGAGGGACACCTGGCGCTGGAACTCTGCCCGGGGCAGCGTGGCCACCTCGAAGTGCGGGAAGCGGGCCTGAAATATGCGGGAGGACAGCTTCAGCCGCTTGAGCACATCAGAGAACAGGAACCAGTTGCAGGGCCTGTGAGGATGGCAAGAGCACGGTGGGTTATAGGGGTGGAGGGGGCTGCAGGCACGGTGCCTTCCCCCCTGCCTCCTGGCATGCTCGCCCTCCCCTCTGGCCCTGGCACTGTTCTCCATGTGCTGCTTCCCCTCAGGAGCCCACGGACTGGGGTTTGATGACAGCCTCAAAGGTCACAGCTTTTTAAAACACTCACAGCCAGTCAGGGACAGTGATGTGAAAGTCCTGCCTTCAACAAGGTCCTGGCAGCTTCCCTGCCAGGAATAAGCCACATGGTCAGGAAATGAAGCTTCTGGTGTGGTTTATTGCTGGAGGGCATGCTGCATGTGTCCCTCTGCATGGACAAACACTGGCAGGCACAGAAATTTGCTGCAGAGAAGAGTGGTGCTTTGGTTGCTGCCTCTTCCAAGTCACCCTTCTGCCCCAGCAACAGCCACTGTGTCACAGGGAGTGCAGGTGGGAATGTTGTTCCAGTGCTGGGACTGATTTAGCCATGATAGAAAGGAAACAGTCTCAGAGCCATAAGTGTGAGCTGCTGCTGAAGGAACATGGGGCTAGAACTAGTAGGATCACAGGGATGAGAGGGGAGCTTCCTGACAGGCACAGCACAGGGACACTCAGGGCAGCAGGATGTGCCTGGCTATGGAGGGTGGGGGGAACCCTGATGAGCCTTCCCTACTCCCTGAGAACATTCCAGGCTGTGCCAAGCCAGGCACTGCTTCCCCAACTTCCCCAGTGCCACAGCCACAACTTCCGTCTGCTGTCCAGAGCAGCTGTGGCTGCCCCATCCCTGGAAGTGTCCAAGGCCAGCTTGGACGAGGCTTAGAGCACCCTGGTCTAATGGAAGGTGTCCCTGTCCATGGCAGGGGAGTGGAATGGGATGAGCTGTAAGGTCTTTCCCAACCCAAACCATTCTGGGATTCTGTGATGATTCTATGAAAAAAACCACCTGAGATCCACGAGCAGCTATTAACCCCACTGGAACGATCAACGTGCTGCTGCCCATGCCAGGGCTGCAGCCCCCCGTGGTCCTGCTCAGTGCTCAGGGAAAGGCACTCACCCCCGGGAGACAGACACTTGGAGGTTGTAGCTGGGAAGCAGTGGCTTGTCTGAGAACTCAAACATGAAGTTATCTGCTTCTTGCTCCTCTTCCTCCTGGTCTGAGCTCCCTGGAGGGTTGAGCAGCAAGTCACAGCCGATGCTGTCCTTCCCCTCTGCAACAGGACAAAGGTTGGCACTGCTCAGTCACACACCAGCCCATGCTGGTACTCCCTGGCCACTGCCACAACCCCACAGGCACCTTCCCACAACATTCCCACAGCCATGTGAGAACTGCAACCCTCCTGCTCCCCTCCAGCCCCTCGTCCCAGAGGAACACGGAGCAAGTGCTGGCTGCTCTGCATGGAGAGATTGCTCACTGGCCAGGTGAGGTGGGGAGAACATCCTGAGTCATGGCAGGAAGCTCAGGTGTGCTCTGGTCCCACAGGTGGGACAGGGCACAGTCTGCACTATCAGCCACCCCACGTGTAGACCCCAGACTCTCTCCAAAATGACCTTGGCCCCTGTCCCATGCCAGCACAGATATCCTCAGCCTGGACGAGCCTGGAACAGCGAGAAGGGAGGCGGATGTAGAGAGGCTTTGCCTGCACAGGCCCTACCAAGGAAGCCACAGCAAGCACTCTGCTCCTCAAGAGCTTCTCCCCCCAGATCCCTCCCTCAGAACCTCTGGCAGGTGATCCAGGGCAGTCAGCACCCATCTCAGTGAGGACAGCAAGGCTGTGCCACCAGAGACTAATCCAACCAAGCAACAAGCATGAGGGGAAATTTAAGGTGGATATACAGAAGTTCTTCCCTGTGAGAGTGGTGAGGCCCTGGCACAGGGCTCAGAGAAGCTGTGGCCGCCCCATCCCTGGAAGTGTCCAAGGCCAGGTTGGATGGGGCTTGGAGCAACCTGGGATAGTGGAAGGTATCCCTGTTCATGGTAGAAGAGTGGAATAAGATGGTCTTTAAGGTTCTTCCAACTCAAACCAGTACATGATTCAATGACTTAAGAGAATTTGCCTGGGTGTTCTAGGAGGCATCTGAGCTCCAGCAGGATCTGTGTCCAGAGGGGATGGAGAACAGCAGGCTGGATCCAAAATAATTTAAAAACAGATAATTTCCCTATTTACCAATCTGAAAAGCTGTTGAAAAGAAGCTTGCTGCCTGGATTTTATTATGAAGAGGTATGAATAGTCTTAAGTTTGCAGAATAGTGTTGTCCCACTGAGATAATACAGGAGACCTCCAAAAACTTCCAGATAAGAGAGTTTAGATTCTACAGAAAGCAGCGAGACCCAATGTGTCCCTACGCAAATAAACCAATCATGCAAAAGTTCAACCCCACGCACAAGAGAAAAGGTTGAGAAAAAATAAAATCTTCTGGTGTGCTGCACAAGGAAGCTTCACACACCCAGCTGCTCACCCAGCACAAGTGGGATTCCAACTGAGGAAAACAGCAGATGACAGGTGACACTGGCTCAAGCAGGGTCTTGGGGAAAAACAGTTATTTCCTAGTACTGCCAAGGGAAAATATTCCCTAAGAAACAGGGTGCTGAAATCGTCCAAACTTGCTATAGAACAGGACAAAAATAAGTGACGTGATTATTGATCCAATGTTGCTGCTGGCAAAACTCAGATGCCTTCACTGAAAAACCTCAGATATCCTGAGCAACTCAGAAAAAAAATAATTAAATGCATTTAATGTGGCAAAAACAGGGCTCACTGTCTGTCCTGAAAGCTCAGTCCTGTCCGTCTGCCCGTGCAAAGGCTGGGATGAGGACAGGAACATTCTGTACCACGGAGGGTGACAATCAGGCACAACAATGCCTGTCCCAAGTGGAGACAAACCCCGGACTGGGACTTTGTGTCTGGAGCTCCAGCAGCACCAAGCACAGGACACTGATGACTTTTCCACACCTCAGAGATCCCACACCCTGGCTTCCTTCATTATCCTTCTGTCCCCAGAGAGTTGCAGACCTCAAGGAAAATGTGGACAGCATTCCTGCCTCAAATAGGAACAGCTCAAGCAGGGCTTGGGATTTCTCCTGTATCCTGAGGGACATACAGTGCTTCAGCTGGTGGAGTTGATGGAAAGAGAGATTTCAAAGGACTAATCCACGGGAGGAGGAGAGTTGTTTGCTGCCTGTGATGATTGAGAGCAGCTCCATTATTCCAGAGCAGAATGAGGTACCTCCCTGCCCCGGGCTGGGAAGTACTGTTCCAGGTGACCCAAGGTGACTGCTGAGGTACCTGAGATAGAAAGGGACATTGCAGGACACACAGTAAACAGGCTGTAAAGAAACCAGCCCATGTCTCAGGCTTGGGCATCCTGGTTTTTCTGCGGCTCTGGCAGCGTCCAGCAGCAGTGCCTGGAACAGCACAGGTGA